ATGGATGGATGGATGGATGGATGGATGGATGGATGGATGGATGGATGAATGAACGAACAAACAAATTAATTCTTTATTGGCCAAGTGTGATTAGACACACAAGGAATTTGTCTTGGTGCATATGCTCTCAGTGTACATAAAAAGAAAAGATACATTCGTCAAGAATCATAAGGTACAACACTTAATGATAGTCATAGGGTACAAAGAAGCAATCAAATCATACTAGGAAACAGTCAATATAAATCGTAAGGAGACAAGCAACAAAGTTACAGCCATACAGTCACAAGTGGGAGAAGATGAGGGATAGGAACGATGAGAAGATTAATAGTAATAATAATGCAGACTTAGTAAATAGTTGGACAATGTTGAGGGAATTATTTGTTTAACAGAGTTAAACAAATAATTGCTCTGCTAAACAAATAATTCCCTCAAATTTCCTGACAGTTAGAACAATTCATCATTGGAACAACCTGCCTCCAGAAGTTGTTAATGTTCCAACACTGGAGGTTCTTAAGAAGAGATTGGATAAACGTTTGTCTGCAATAGTATAGAGTTTCCTGAAAGTGGGTTGGGCTTGAAGACCTCCAAGTCCCTTCCAACTCTGTTATTCTAGTCTATGACTATGATGATGTTGATCATGAGGAGAGGGAAGAGGAGAGCATACTAGGGTAATATAGGATTTCTACTAAAGGTGGAGTTGATGAGATAACTAATTTGCTTTCTGATAAAATTATTCAAAATTATTTATAGCTAATCATAATCACCCATGACAGCTATTTTGAAACTTTCTTTCTCCTAACTTTGCATACGGACCCACCAGGCAAGAATACAGGTAGTCCTTGACTTAACAACAGTTCATTTAGTGACCATTCAATATTGCAATGGCACTGAAAAAAGTGACATGACCATTTTTCAGACTTGCAACCATTGCAGTACCCTTGATTTCAGATGCTTGGCAGGTGACTCCTATTTATGACAGTTGCAGTGCCATGGGGTCATGTGACTGCCTTTTGTGACCTTCTGGCAAGCAAAGTCAATAGGAAAGTGAGATTCGCTTAACAACCATGTTACTAACTTTATAACTGCAGTGATCCACTTAACAACAGTGGTAGGAAAGGTTGTAAAATGAGGCAAAAACTTAACAACAGAATTGTTGGGCTCAAGTCAAGGACTACCTATAACTGCTCCTGATGCAAGAAGACTGGATGAGAAGTTGAGAAGAGAAGGTAATATCCTAGTCAAGGGGTCCTTCAAACTTGACAGCTTTAAGACATGTTATGCTGGCTGGAGTTGCAGTCCATAAGTCTTAAAGTTGCCAAGTTTGGAGACCCCTTTCCTAGTCTGATGCAAAGTAAGAGATTGTGTAACAGTACTAGGGAACTGATGCCCTTCTCACCAGATGCCACCAAAATGGAAAAGTCAACAGAGTCGACTGGAATAGCAACCCACACACCCACAACTGAAGTAAAAACCCAAGATGTAGTCAGCTCAGA